CTGACGTTTCTATGGCAAGCATCCTCAGAGGTTGTGAGGCCCTGCTCTYGATCCCACCWGCATCGCAGGCGCGATTGGTGRGGAYGAGAGAGAGGGCCTTTTCGGTGGTGGCCTCTCGACTTTGGAACTCACTCCCTAAAGACATCAGACAGGCTCCAACCTTGGCAGTCTTCAAGAGGAACTGTTCCAGTGTGCCTTCCCGGAATAATGTTCCCATAGCACTCTGTCCTCCAAAGCACTTTACATTTTTTAAGTCTGCTTGTATGCCCTTTCATAAACACCAGTATCATCTTCCGTCCATGTCCCAGCATATCTCCAATTTTAACTTTACATTTGGYCTTCCCTGTTTTTAATTATGTGTTGTTTTTTGATAATGTTGTTTATTTTATTGTCTATRTTTTTAATTGCTTGTATTGTTGTTTTATTGCTTGTATTGTTGTGTGTGGGCTTGGCCTCATGTAAGCCGCACCGAGTCCCTTGGGGAGATGGTAGCGGGGTACAAATAAAGTTAATAAATAAATAAATAAATAAATGAAACATGGCCATATAGCTCGAAAAGCCTACAACAGCGATGTGTTTTCAAATTAGAGCATTTTTGAAAAGGGAAAAGCAGCAACGTCATACTAAAGGGCCTTAAGAGGAGGAATATTTGATGTACCAATAAATGCAAAATCTCAGAGCAAAAATTATGATGCGCAGTACCATTTTATGACATTTGACAGTGACATTTATGGGCTGGGATGCCGCCAAGTACTGACTCGGGATGCGAGGGCTTCTGCCAGACTCAGCAGCCCGGCTGCCAATTCAGCTGCCTTTCCGCAGCCTTCCCCTTGCTGCACTCTGCAACCTGGCTGGGGAAGCGCACGCGCAGGTTGCAAAGGGGCGCGAGGCAAGCTCAGGGAGCCAATTGGTGCCCGGAGTGTTTATTATCTACCCCCCCCCCCCAGAAGCAGCACGCCCCCAGGATTGCTGCCTTAGCAAACCGTCTCTACGGAAGCATCTTTCACCCAGCATCACTTTCCCTGGACTCCAGCCCACTTCTTATACAACTCTCACGAAGGCGGGGAAGGCCTAGGAAGGCCGGGATCCAACCCAAGCCGTCTTGAGAAGTGTCGCCGGACTCTCCTTTTTTGGTGGGAGACCATAATGGCTGTTGAGGCTCGAGGGAAGGCGTAATTCCCCATCGCCTTGCGCCTCCGCCACGTGACAATAAGCAGGGCCTTGTGTTGTCGAAACAGGGCCTTATTTGCAGCCTAGGCAGGGTCTCTCGCGGGTGGGTGGGTGCGGCGCGCGGGCATTTGCGTTTGCGCGCGCCTGGAAAGCCCCGCCCCCTTTCCTTATCCTTTTACCTCCGGGGCGCGCGCCGCACGCCTCTTTTCTATTTGAAAAAAAAGGAGGGGGTGACCAAAAAAAATTGGAACGAAAACGTAAGGGGGTTCGGGAATAAGACAAGTCTGCGGCAGCGTAGGGAGAGCGCGTGCAGGAGATGCCTGGAAGCGCGCGCGCCCTTTTTCCCCTCCAGACAACCAACGCTAAAGGCCTGCCTAGGCACCTGCTTTCTGAAAGGGCGAGCGTGGGAAAAAACGGCGGCAATGCGGCTCCAAGGCAAGGGGGCGGGGCCAGGGCCTTCCCTTAGTGGTCGCATCCCCCAAGGCTCCTCCTCTCCTCCAGCCCCGCGCGAGCGAGCGCGCGCTCCAACAGCAGAGGCCCTTTGCCAGCCTGCGCTGAGGGTCCGGGGCGCGAGCAGCAGCAGCGTCGTCTATTCTGCGCAGCGTCCCAGGAAAGCGTTAACACACACACGCTCAGGCGCCCGCGAAACCACTGCAGTGGCGAATGAATGACTCATGCAAGCCCCGCCATCATGGTCTTCATGAGGAAGGTTCCCGGCGAGGTCCCCGAAAGGACAAGAGTCAAGGAGCGGCCTGAAAGTTCCGCCACTGTCCTGAGAGGAAAGTTGCTCGCTCCTTGGCGGCAGTTCCGTTAATTGCACATTCACCGCGGCGGCGGCGGCGGGGGGGGGGGGGATACAAAACTAGAGAGGAGCAGACTATTCTCCCTTGAGAAACAGAGGCGAGGGCATGGCTCCAGACAAGCTGCCTTGCGTTTGAGGGGATTTCGCCTCTCGAAAAATAACCCCAAGAGCAGGCATCCTTAAAGTGCGGCCTCCATCTGTTTGGGCCTCCAAATCCCAGAAGCCCTAACGAGCTGGTTCGATTGTCAGGAATTCTGGGAGTTGAAGGCCCAAACAGCTGGAGGGCCGCACTTTGAGCATGCCTGCCCAAGAGGTTGTCTGGGCTTGCATGGCCATGTTCCAGAAGCATTCTCTCCTGACGTTTCGACCGCATCTATGGCAGGCATCCTCAGAGGTTGTGAGCTCTCTCACTTGGGCATATAAATAATACTATGAGCCCCACTGCCAAGCCTGTAGCCAGAATTTCGATTTTGGGAGGTGGGGGCTGAGGATCTACCCTAGCAAACCTTTTGTATTGTTATCCAAATACCCCCATGCATATGAGGGCCTCCAAATCCCAGCATGAGCATGGTGATCAGATCATGATATGAATAAACATCAACAATTGGGTCACACCGTTTACAGAAAACCCACACACACAGATATCTACATAAAAACTCCAACCATCACCCAAGTCAAAAAAGAAGCACCATTAAAGCCTTGGCAGACCGTGCAAAAAGAATCTGCGAACCCCACCTCCTCCAAGATGAACTGAACCACCTAAACTGGGCTCTACAGGCCAATGGATACTCCACCTCAGACATCAGAAGAGCTGCAAGACCAAGAACAAGCCACGAGAGTAAGATGAAGATCCACCCGAGGAAAAGTGTTCCTGCCATACATCAAGGGAACCACTGACCGCATAGGGAAGCTGATGAGGAAACACAACATACAAACAATCTACAGCCCCACCAAGAAAATCCAACAAATGCTACGTTCAGCAAAGGACAAGAGGGATCCTCTCACCTCTGCAGGAGTCTATCGTATACCATGCAGCTGTGGACAAGTCTACATAGGGACCACCAAACGCAGCATTGCCCAAACACGAACATGAAAGGCACTGCAGACTACTTCAACCAGAGAAAATAGCAGAGCACCTGATGAACCAACCTGGACACAGCATATTATTTGAGAACACAGAAATGCTGGACCACTCTCACAACCACCATGTCAGACTACACAGAGAATCCATTGAAATCCACAAGCATGTGGACAATTTCAACAGAAAGGAGGAAACCATGAAAATGAACAAAATCTGGCTACCAGTATTAAAAAAACTCTAAAATTACAACAGCACAACAACAGAGAGGAAACAAACAAGGACATCTAATCACCTCTCAACAAAAGTTTGCTCTAGGCACTGTCAGGCCATTATATGCTAATCAAGGTGGTCAGTTGAAACATTCACACCTAGCTCCAGCAGACAAGAGTCCTTTGTCTCACCCTGGTCATTCCACAGATATATAAACCCCTTTTCCCTAGTTCCAACAGACCACACTACCTCCGAGGATGCTTGCCATAGAGGCAGGCGAAACGTCAGGAGAGAATGCCTCTAGACCATGGCCATATAGCCTGAAAAAAGCTACAACAACCCAATAAGCATAACAGTTTAAATAATGTACCAGTAAGGCCTTCTCGCGGACCACCCTGAGAATTTAGGGGGGGCTGAAGGCCCTCAAGCCCCCCCCCCGGCTACATGCCTGCCCTTGGCAAGACCGCAAGCCCCTGAGGATACATGCAGGCGAAACGTCAGGAGAGAATGCTTCTGGAACATGGGTCCTACAGCCCAGAAAACTTACAGCAGAGGATTCAGGGACAGCAATACCTCACACCCTCTGAGGACGACTGTCATAGATGCAGGTGAAACGTCAGGAGAGAATGCATCTGGAACATGGTCACAGCTCGAAAAACTTACAGCAACCCAAACTCAAGAGGATTTGGGGACGGCAAGACCTTCCCGAATCCTCTGAGAATGCCTGCCATAGATGTAGATGAAATGTCAGGAGAGAATGCTTCTGGAACATGGTTGTACAGCCCGGGAAACTTACAGCAACCAATCTCAAGAGGATTCAGAGACGATGGAGTTTCGCCTCAAACACTTGGGCACATGAATAATGCCTATGAGCCCCTTGGCAAGACCTCACAATCTCTAAATGATGCCTGCTATAGATGCAGGTGAAACGTCAGGAGAGAACGCTTCTGGAACATGACCAGACAGCTCGAAAAACTTACAGCAACCCAATCTCAAGAGGGATTCTGAGATGATGGAGTTTTGCCTCAATCACTTGGGCACATGAATAATGCCTATGTGCTCCTCGGCAAGAACTGAGGATGCCTGGCATAGGTGCAGGTGAAACGTCAGGAGAGAATGCCTCCCTTCGCATCAAATAATGCCTATGTGCCCAGAGGCGGCCCTAGGTAATTTTCAACAGTAAGCAAACAGTATTCCCCCCCCCCCCCGGCCAATCAATCACTGATATATATTTTCTGTTCGTCGGGGGAGTTCTGTGTGCCATATTTGATCCAGTTCCATCATTGGTGGAGTTCAGAATGCTCTTTGATTGTAGGTGAACTATACATCCCAGTAACTATAACTCACATATGTTAAGGTCTATTTTCCCCCAAGAGCACCTCAAGAGCACCCCAGGGCAAAATCAACTATACTGCAAATCCTTACTTTGCGTAATGGGTTGAGCCGCCCCTGTATGCGCCCCTCGGCAAGATCTCACACCCTCTGAGGATACCAGCCATAGATGTAGGCGAAACGTCAGGAGAGAATGCCTCCCTTTGCCTCAAACAATGCCTATGAGCCCCTCGGCGAGAGTTTGGATGCTTATAGGGTGTAAAAAGCGGGACGCAGTGCCCTCCAACCCTCAGTCGAAGGGAGGGCGAGAGAAGAAGGGAGGGAGGAGGGGAGCCGGCAAGTGCGCGCTGACCCGGGCCAGCCAATGAGAGGGGCGCTAGGACCCGGGGGCCACCTCGCGCCCAGCCGCACCGCATTATAAATACTTCTCCAAAATGCGGCGAAGCTCCTTTTCCCCGCCGCCGCCGCCGCCGCCTCCTGCCGCATCGCCTCCATCCCCGGCACCCTCCTCCTCCTCCTCCTCCTCTTGCCTGCGGCGCTGAGCGAGGCATTCCCCCTTCCCTTCCCTCTCTCCCCCGCGGCTCCATCTCGAGGCTCTTTCCCCCCCTCCCCCCTTCCCCTCGCCCCCGTTTGCATGCATTATCTGTCTCCCAAAATGGTTTGCGAGACGAAGATCGTGGCGGAGGACCATGAGTCGCTTTCCGGGGCCAAGAAGGAGAGCGTGCTGGTGTCCTCGGCGCAGATGTGGCCCTCCTTCGGGGGCCCGCCGCCCGCCCCGGCCCCCCAGGGGGGAGAGGGCGACGGGGAGGAGGAGGAGGGGGAGGCCGCCCCGCCGGGCCAGGAGGGCGCCTGCGGAGGAGGGGGCTTCATCCGGGAGTTCCACCCCTCCGAGCAGGAGGCGGCGCGGCGCATCTTCCGCGAGGGCATCCTCGAGCGCATCCCCAACACGGCCTTCCGCGGCCTCAAGGACCAGCCCTGGACCCAGCTGCTCTACGGCACAATGGCGGGTGAGTGAGCCAGGGCGGGAGACGAGCCGCGCGGCGTGGCCTCCCGCACTCAAGGAAGGAGCATCAGGAGGAGAGGGAGCCCTGCCCGCCCCCGCCCACCCCCCTGCCCGACTCCCTTTGTCCCAGGCCTTGCCATCGGGGAGTGCAGGACCCCTCCCTAGACATCAGCAGTCCCCGAGTTACGTTGGTCACGACTTCTATTTACAAACGGAGCTGAGGCAACAGCAAGTGGGAGGAATCTGCCCCTCCGAAGTCTTACAAACTACTACTCATCAAGAATATTTCATCAGATGGTCTGATCAAATATTAACCAAATATTAATTAAATATTAATCAGATGGTCCGATTAAACCTGACTTAGAAACAACATATAGCTAAGAAAGTGAGAGAAAACTACACCTCGGAAGGGAAATTCACCCCTGAAAGAGTCATCATTGAAGCTTTCGCACCCATCCTTGTATCTGTTCCTATCTGATGCTGATCTGATAAGGTGTTTTTTTTCATATCAGGAGCAACTTGAGAAACTGCAAGTAGCTTCTGGTGTGAGATAATTGGTCATCTGCAAGGACGTTGCCCAGATGTTTTGCTGTTTTACCATCCTTGTCATCATCCAAGGATGATAAAACATCAAATCATCTGGGCGCCCCCTGGGCAACATCCTTGCAGACGGCCAATTCTCTCACACCAGAAGCGACTTGCAGTTTCTCAAGTCGCTCCTGACATGACAAAAAACAAAACAAAACTATCCTTGTGGGAGGCCTCTCTCATGTCCCCACATGGGGAGCTGGAGCTGACAGAGGGGGCTCATCCACACTCTCCCCCCCCCCCCCCCCCCCCCCCCCCCCCCGGATCCGAGCCCATGAGCTGTCAGTCAGCGGTCCTGCCAGCATAAGGGTTTGACCCATTGTGCCGCCGGGGCTTCTTATCAGATAATGTAAAAGTATAGGCATTAGATTTAGACTGGTAATGTCATCAATCTATGACAAAATCCACCTGCGTCTGTGTGATTTCTACTCCAGGTGAGAAATATACAATTAGACCATGGGCCAATCTAATCCACTACAGGGAGTCCCCGAGTTACAAACATCCAACTTAGTAACAACTCGTAGCTTAAGAAGGGGGTGAGACAACAGGAAGTGAGAGAAATCTACACCTCAGAAGGGAAATTCACCGCTGAAAGAGTCGTCCTAGGAAAAGGTGTCTCCATTGAAGCTTTAGCATCCATCCTTGAACCTATTCTGATTTACATACCAATTCAACTTAAGAACAGACCTTCGGAGCTTATGTTCTTCCTAGCCTGGACCATCAGCATTGACTTGCCTAAAGTTCTCTTAACCCACAAAATCAGTCCTCTCCCATAGAATTGCTGGCCAACTGTGAAGATCTGATTTGCCCGATTGGCCTTTTCAAAAGCAGCTACAGGGATGTCTGGCACTACCTTTTTTTTTAGAAGACCACTTTGTCCAGGGACCACTCTCCAACATTAGACCAAAAGGGTTACGAATCAATTTTTGGTCCAACTTTAGATTCAGTTTGGTTATTTGGGGTGCTGGTTCAGAAAATTGCATTGGGTAGACCACATCAGCTCTAGTTTCTGATACAGAGAGTATGCCATCAAGTAGTCGCCATCTGCTCACCCACGAAAAAACCATATTTAATAATCTAATGCTGATGTGGTCTATCCAAGAGGGCGGGGCTGGTCAGGCGGCAGAAAAGGAGCGGAAATAAAATCAATAAATAAAGAGGAAGGAGGCTCACGGACCAAATTTTCATCCTTGCGACCCACAGTTGGTCCGTGGCCTTCTTCCTTACAGTCTGCTCCACACACTGAGGTCCTCTGAGGGGCGTCTGCTCCAGCCAGCCAGGACTCCACCGCCTCCTTTTCATTGGCCATCCCAAGACTGTGGAACCACCTGGCAGAAGAGCTCCGACAGATAAATGAGCTGTGGAAGTTTTAAAACCATCTAAAGGCCTATCTCTTCCGGCAGGCGTACCCAGACAATTCTTAAAACATGTATTTTAAACATGTGGCCTTTGTTTAATCTGTTTTGTGTATTTTAATATGTATTTTATAGAAAAATACATATTAACCCCTGGTGGCACAGCAGGTTAAACTGCTGAGCTGCTGAAATGCTGACCAAAAGGTTGGCGGTTCAAATCCAGGGAGTGAGCTCCCGCTGTTAGTCCCAGCTTCTGCCAACCTAGCATTTTGAAAACATGCAAAATGTGAGTAGATCAGTAGGTACTGTTTCGGCAGGAAGGTAACAGTGCTCCATGCAGTCATGCTGGCCATATGACCCTGGAGGTGTCTACGGACAATGCTGGCTCTTCAGCTTAGAAATTGAGATGTGCACCATCCCCCAGAGTGAGTAGGCTTAACATCAAGGGAAAACCTTTACCTTCACTTCATAGAAATACATTTTAATATATGTATTTGTGGCATTTTTACAGTGTTTATGTGCTTTAATTATTCTTAACCCACCTCAAATCACAAGGAGAGGTGAGTGAGAAATAAAATTATTATTATTAATGTTATTATTTAACTATCTGGATGCCAGACCGGCTGCCTCCTTTTGCCACAGGAAGCGCTCCTGCAGAGACCCCTTGCCGGCTTTTCCGTCCTCACAGCTTTACTGCTTGCGGCTCTGTTCTCCACTCAGCCTGGACTGGAGAGCAAGGAGGCCAGCCGGCTCTGAGCAACCCTGAGGCAGCAGGATTTCCAGTCTGTTTGGCCTATAAGCAGCTTCAAGAGGGACTCTGTTCCGCTGATCTCATTTTTCATATCTCATATGCCTGAATCTTGCAAACACGCATGGTTTGAAATTGAACTGCCTTTTAAAAGCCTGCTCTCCAAAGGTGGATGCTCAAGTCCCATTATAGACAATGGTGTAGCTGAACCTTATATAAAATTGATCTTTTAAAGCTGCATATGGCTGAATCAATGGATACAGAGTGCTGGGTATACAGATGTGGGTTTGGCACAAATGGCAGGAGGCACCTCAGGTACAGCAGGACTTCTTTAACTCTGCACAAGAAATTGTTACCTGACCCCAGAAATAGATAGGTGGACAAAACAAGTGTGAAAACCAAACACTGATAAGAAACCAGCCTTTGCAAGGCTTGCTAAACAAGATTTTCCTTTTTATGTGGAGTACAGCAGAAGCATTTTTCTGCAGAGTCCCCTGCAAACACTGCAGCTAATGTGGTGTTTGGAAGTCCTTTTCTGCTGCCACATGCTTTGTGACCCCAAAACTGAGCTAAGGGACCCCAGTTGGGGCCAGGACCCACAGTTGAAGATGCATGATTTATATGATCCAGGCATGTGAGAAATGAGAAAGCAGCTCAGAGGATCAGAATCTGTTGTAGCTATGTAGGGAGTCCCTTAGTTACAAACAAGATAGGTTCTGTAGATTTGCTGAGAGACAGGGAGACACCTTTTCCCCATGATAACTCTTTTAGGCGTGAATTTCCCTTCCGAGGGATAGATTTCTCTCACTTCCTGTTGTCTCACCCCCGTTCTTAGCTATGAGTCATTTTTAAGTCAGATGTTTGTAACTCAGGTACTGTCTTTAGTGGACTAGATTGACCCATGGTCTATCGCTTGGGCTAGAAATTCACACAGATGCAGGTGGATTTTGACATGGATTTATGACATTACTACTTAAAACCTCATGCCTATACTGTTACCTTATCAGATCGGCAACAATTAACAATCTGATAAAATATCCTGGATTGGTAGTGCTTGTAAGACTGCATGAACACTTATCAAGAAAGGTAAAATTTTGATAGGCAGTGTAATTTCAAGTTTTTTGGTAATCTGTGAAAGTTTGTGTTAAGATATGAGAAATGCAGCAGACACAATTTGTCTTACAATTGTTTTACTATCCCAGATAATGTTTTGATTTCTCTGCCCGCCCTACATATAAACAGCAGGTAAATTGGACTTGTATACTTTTTTAGAGGATCAAGCCATAAACCGTATTATTTGAATTATGTACCTATATCTAGATATCTAGATATATACATAGGTAGAGCTACAGCCTGAGTAAATTTTCCAAAAATTCCAAGAGTTTTCCAACACTTTCTTTCCTTTCGAAGGGTTTCTGAGTTACTTTTTGGGTAAAAAGAGGTGTGTGTGTGTGTGTGTGTGTGTGCGTGCGTGCATGTATATACACACAAGCAAACATACCATCTCTGTGTGAAAACAGAAAGGGTTGTAATATTTCCATTAAATCTTTTTTTTAAATTCTGGGATTTGAATGCTTTTGAGCTATAATTAGTGTCCATAACTTGGAATGAAAGTAAATGAAATTTCGAGGTGTAAAAGCACAGAAATACCGTACAACATTGTTCTAAAAGAGAAATGGAACAAAGCAGAGGATTAAGTTGTTTGAATAAATGGGTTAATGAGGGAAAGATTAATGAATGACATTTTTATGAATGCATTTGGGATGCAATTCAGGAAAGGTGTTGGGATGATAGTTTGGGGAGTAAACAGAGGGCTGGCCCTATGTCAATTCCCTCTGCTCTTTCTAAAGGGGTGTCTTTGCTACATCAGCAAGCATGAATCGATAATGCAGTCAAGGTGAACCAGAAATGGGAAAATTTACTCAGCAAAGCAAACTTTCAAAATGTTTTCCTGTACTAAAAATCCAGGAATCAAATTGCACTTGGAAATATTTCAATTTTGTGTAGATCCAGTTGCAGAGCAGAACTAATGAAGGCTGGATTAGAATCACAAATGTCAGTGGTTGTTTAGGCTACCTATAAATACACAATGCTTGCATGTATGTAGGCTCATTTTTGGGTTTTTTTCTCCATTGTGAGATGAGTTTCTCCCTGCTTTTTCAATTTAAGGAGTAAATGTCATTACTGAGGCAATGTGGTATAGTGGTTTGAGCATTGGATGATGACTGCAGACCAGGGTTTGAATCCCCATTTGGCTATGGAAATCCGCTGAGTGACTCTCTCAGTCTTAAAGGAAGGCAGAGCCATTCTATA